CGGGTTATGTTCGGGACCGGCTGGGATATTTCTTCGAGATTTAAGTAGTGCCACCGTTCGGTCTGATATCCAGTACTTGAGTGCGCCTTGTTGGGTCTCGCCACAGGCAAAATTCCCAGCACTATGCAAAGAGGTGGCAATCTCGTCCCAGTATGAGTTCACATCTGACGGTGGAGCACTTAGAAGAGACTCTAGAAGACGATCCTTGTCGTCTGACATCTGTCGTCTGGCACTTAGAAGAGACTCTAGAAGACGATTCTTGTTCGTCTGACATCCGGGTCTGCCAGTCTTTCAGTTGCTATGCGATTTGTCCGCACCTTACGCGGCCCCGGGAAACGTAGGTTGAAGCGACTCCGGACGAGCGCGTGGTCAGAGTCCACAAATGTGTTCCAAAACGACCGGCGGTCAGTAATTGATCCGCGCCATCGGTAACTGATAGCAACGTGGTCGATTTGAGTTTGTGGCCGGCCTGCCGTTGCAGGACACTAAGTGGCCAGACGACTTCGGCTATTTCGGAAGTTCGTACTGCATAAAAACAGCCTGCGATCAGCACACGGCTGAAGCAATCGTTCCCCATTGTCCGTACCGAGTCCAGTCCATGTCGAACTCTCAATTGAGTCTCAGATGCACTAAGCCTGCCCACTTGCGCATTCATATCTCCGGCAACCGCCACAATCTCTGAGCTTTTAGCTTGCCGCAGCAGGGCATTCAGGGCGTCGTAAAACCTGTCTTTGATGGCGTCGGAGCTACAGTCAGTTCGGGCATAGGCAGACACGATAAACAGACATCTATCAACATGACGCTTGTGAGACTCCTTCACAGACTTTGCAGACGAACCGCACAGAGGCGACTATCAACAGGTATCCACTCAAGTAAGGATACTTCCGACCGGTGACTTATCACAATACCAACCCCTGCACATCACACCGCAGCAGCCTCTGGATCACCAGAGGTGCGCAGCCGGAAGTGAGTGGAGACTGACGGGGCGGGTAAATCAGTCACTGTGCTTGCATCTGACGAACGGAGTCATCAGTCCTAAGTGCTGAGCCTACAAGGAGAGAGTTATTAATGGGGTGGGGAGGGGGGAAGAAAAAGCATGTGAAGGGGAAAGAAGGGCGACTTCAGCAGTAGCCTGTTTTCGCTTACCCACCCTGTTATATGCAGCAAGTAAGGCGAATCGGCTGATGGCACCACGCGACGGCGGATGTGGCATGGGTTTATTTGTGTATGTGCAATTCATGGTTGTACGTGGGCTGGGATACTGCCAGGGCGCCCACACCTAGACAGGAGGACGATTAGGGTCCTCAACCAGTCTTTGGCTCAAAAGCCTAACCGCAAGGCAGTGGTGTTTTGCGGGAAATGCAAATGCATTACCATTACTACGGAACAAGTCGCCACATGTTCCAACCCCCAAACCTGGAGGGCCAGGAGACTGTGTTCGTCAGACCTCCAACCATTGACCAACCTGGTATGAGAGACTCTGTGAGTGTCACCAGACACTCTCCAGTATAGCTCAATGGATCGCTGAGGTGCGCAAACCGTCGCACCACGGTAAGGTCCAGTCTCTTCGTGACGGGCATGCGTCCATGCTCATCCCAATTGTTTTATCCGATAGCACTCATGCATCTTTGAGCGATGCACTGTGTATCCAAATCCAGCCGCGCGGGATTCATTTCCTTCCTCTCAGCGTGGTCTACCGTTGTCCCTCATGTTCTCCGAAAGAGGACCACTTCCTTGTACACACAGCTAAGCAACTCTCGCACCGCTACCACTTCACACAAGTTTCAACCTCCCCACAGCCTCCTATCTTTGGCTCCAACGCGTCGGCTCTAGTGGATATTTTGCAGAGCCGCTGACCAAAATCGTTCCGCAGAGTACTTGGAATGGATTTCTTCATCACCAACGAAAGACACGTCGCTTATCAGGCGCTAATTACCGCCCCGCTGGGACACAATGACCACTGTGTGCTGATCTTCGATTTCATTTACTACTGGTCCAGAAATACTGAACCTCAACAGTGTCTTCGAAAGTTCTGCCGCGTATAACTCTCAGGAATGCGCACATCTTCTGATTACTTTAAACTTCGACCAACTTCCGTGAAGGAGATAACTGTTCCGCAGAACCAACGTCCAAAAGTTTTGCGATTATAGTGAGATGTTCACCCAAAAAACACGCAGACGGATAGGCCGCGAGCTACCTAAAATGATCCGGCATCCACTGGTAAACTGGTCTCAACCATTTTGAAAAAGCTGACTACAGGAGTCAGAAGATGAGACAGTGCTTCGTTAGACACAGAACCGTTATGAACCAGGAATCAGCCAATGAGACATACGCAAGCAAGCTACTATATTTAACTTCGCCAGAAAAAAAATGTGCTGTTTAGATAACTGAGACATCGCTTCAGCAAAAGCCGATCACGTTCTCATTGAGAGGCGCAAGCGTATAATCCACGTGTGACCTAACAATGGTGTCGGAAGCCTGCAGGCCTCTATTCACACAGGCCTCGTCATACAATCTTGTCAATCTTGACCAATTTGACTACCACAGAAGAGGATAATTTTAACCCCTGCACAAGACAATCCCATTCTTCACGTTGGGGCCTAACGGGGTCCATCCAGAGAGGATGGAGGAACGTCATTTATGCTGGCAAATTATTTCTACCTGGTATTCCGCCAGTCGCTCGGGAAGGCAACTTGTCCAGTACTTAAAAGGAAGCGATTCTGGCACCAAACTATAAGACTTGCGGTAGACCATCGCCCGGCATCTACTGTCTTATTAGCCCCACTCGCGTACCGTGCAAGGTGAAGGAATGCGTTGTGGAGAGAACCATCATAGAGCACCTTCAGACCACCGACATGATATCCTCAGTTCAACACGGATTCCTCCAAAACGGTTCTTTTGGTAACGAACGTGCTCGTATTGATGGACAGCTTGGCCCAATCTAGGGACGAGGGACTCATATCCCATGCCATATTCTCCCACCCCTTCCAAATTACTCGATCGAGTCCGATACGTCCGCCTGCTTCCAAACTCAGTATTGACGGGATTCGGTAGAAGTTCTTCACTAGACTAAGGCGTTACTATCAGACAGAACATTCCGAGTGAAAGTGGATCCGACCTACTCTTCTCTGGCGTCGGTCTCCATTAGAATTTCTGAAGGCTGCCTTTTTGGGAATATGGCCGTTTCCAATCTACGTAAACGAACTCCCAGCTTTCTTGAAAGTCCATGGCTACCTTTCTCGAACGACTTGAAAGCCTGAAGCTCAAATGCCAGTGCACCACAAGTGGTTGTATCCACAGCAAAGTTGTGGACGCTGTGATGGGACCTACCTCTGAATGACGAAACGAGCGACCACATGTCATTCAGAAGAGGCCCAGAGAGCGCCTCTCGGGCATTTTGAGAATAGAACAAAAGACATCACGAAGGTGGATACAAAACAGGGCTTGTTAATCTGGCTCCCTTCAAATATGCCCCGCTCATTGCACCATGAGAAACTGTCTCAAAGGGCATGACCGGTATGCGGACCTTCCCTCGTGCCACTCGCATGGACTTCCGAGACTCTATGGGGACCACATCTGACCGCTTCTTGAATATGTCAACCAAGTTTCTTATCTAGATGTACAAAGAACATAATGCTCACTGGGTCTATCCGGTGAGGCACTACCAGAATGGTTGCCAGCCTTAAATCCGCAGACCACGAAATGTGTCCCGCAGTGCCTGGTTTTTTCCTCCTGGGGAGTTGTCCCCTCTGAAAAGACCTAAAACTTACGACCTTTTAGAACAAGAGTTGGCAAACAGAATTTTCACTGTTGATCGAGATAACATGCGATTGAGGCGTGCTAAGATTTTTTAACCTCAGAGCGCACAATTTTATTGGGCAAAATATTTTCTCATTCTGGTTAGTAGCTGCGTGGGATAACCTCCCTTCGACTGTCCTCACAGTACATCTCGAACCCAGTTCAAAGCACTGTTAGACGCCTTGTTATGCAACCCCCCGAGCTGATACGCCTACAGCCCCGTACCCGGCAGTACTACACCCTTTCTTGATTGTGCCTTTCAGGTGAACGGCAGCCTCTGAACGACAAGAAAATAACCAACCCGAGAAACTCGGACAAGAGCCTCAATCTTGTGTATCAATCCGTGAATTCCTGTATCCTTGAGCGACTTTATCCCACTCTTATTTCCCAAGTGACTGCCGTCATTTCTTTTGGCTACTCCGTGTCCTGCCTTCTAGAGCGGCTGTTTGCTGCTTGCTTATATCTGGTAGCTGAAGTTTCCTAATAATTCACGGACCTCAAATATAACTGCTGAGTGGCTTTACTCTTTCCAGATCCGGTAAAATGCATGACAGGTAGCGACCTCCTGTGGTGGTCAGAAATAGCTTGCAACGAGTCCCGCCCCGTCTGTTTGCACCACGGCCCGTTCGTATGCCTGCCGCCTCGAGAGCCGTGCGGGTGCATTTCAATCAGCACATACAATATGTAATATTAATAATGTTTGTTGACAACTGTGGACGGCGGTCGGGCATGATCATAATGTTACAGTCAGAAAAAAAGCATGGCTGGAGGTGTTTGTGTGTATATGGCATAGCGCAGGCAAAGGGATGGTATTATAAACGTCCGAATTTGGAGATGGAGGGCCAAACGGAACAAGGGACAAATCTGTGGCATTGCGCCTGACACATGACACTGCAAACTGTGGAATCTGGGGGACCAGAACAACGGATCTGGTGAAGTAACAAAGATGGCATGATCCAGCCGGTCAAGTTGAAATAAAATCTGAAACCACCGATGTGGCCTCGTGGCCGCGAGTTGTTGGGCTTATGACCTGCTTAGCAGATAAATGATACCACTAATCGTAGAACCATGGTGTACACTGAAACTCTAGAGAGTCGCTGGCGTCGGCAATATAGTGAAGTCGGGTGTAAGAGCTCCTCGGAAGGGCGGGTTGGCGAAAACACTAGCCGGAACGCGAACTGTACAGAAAATTATCGATTTTTTTGAGGTCACGGAATCAATATCTGCAGAAATGGTCAAATCCGAACGAAAGGTTCGGCATTTGAATGAAAGCGTACTAGAGGCTTCTTCGGCCGGGTGTAGGCTTTGTTGGTGCTTACAAGTTATTGAAAAAGTGGGCAAGGGGGAATGGTCAAGAGAAGGAAGGGAATAGTTGTGGGTGTGCTGTCAAGCTCAGTGTGGCAGTGCCGTACCATCGCTGGCCCCACATACTCCGTTTTTCGGACAACCCCGTAACGGTCGTCATATTTATAGTCATTGTTATGGGATTTTTTCTCCAGGTTGGTCAGTCGCTGCCAACGGAAACGCCTCTGCTTATCATTTTTTGTCGAAGTCTTATCTGTTTCTAACAAGCCAACAAGCCCCAATTGTTTACCGTTCGCAGAAGTCAGAGAAAGGTTGTTATCGCTTTAGCATACGCTGGACTTGATGACGGCACCATAAGTGCTAGTAAATGAACGATGATATCACGCTAGTTATGACTCTTGTTTTTGGCAAATCAGGAGAGCGACACTCTGGTTGAGGTAAATCAGCTAAATGGCTATACTTAAACACTCGTTATTTCCGACACATGATATTTCTTACAGCAGCCCAGCACAATAGAGCGTTCGCGGTCAAGGCTGAAGATGACGCTTCATCATTTGCGTGGGTTTCGCGGACACTGGCGGATGGACACCACAAGATTGGCACGCCCGAAGGATGAATTTTCAGGGTCCCAAATTGACCTAGACGTTTGCTCCTCTATGCCGCTTGTAACTTCGTAAGCGAGCTGCTGAAATGTGATCTATCATTATTATTCACAAGCACAAGTTAGCGGCTTGCGAAATGGCATGCCAGGATATTTGACAACGGTCCCGTGTCTAAACTTCGCCGACAGAGTCTTAAACACTTCGCATGATTCTATGACATGTCCTCATCATCTAAGTTTGCTGTGGTTGCTTAGGTTACATGTCACGTCCTTGAAAGTACTGGGTGAACATCACTCAGTTTTCTTGGTCTTTTAAACAGTGTACCCTTTCTCGTTTCCCCGTGTTCCGTCGTTGTATGCAGATGGCCTCGGCGGAAATCTAGGTATCTCAAGACTAGATGCTCGAGATTGACGGAGGTTAGTAGCCCTTTGATGAGAGCATTGCAAATTTTGAAGCCCAAAGATTTGCTGCACACCCGTGGACAACATTCGCGCTACTTCCCTTCTAGAGCCTACAGTCTATAACATGTTTACCGTGTCAAAGCAAGTGTACTGACATTTTAGGAAACGCCAGTTTTGTGTATTTACGTGTGGTTCCGCAGTTTTCTGTTGTTTTAGTGGGTTTCATCAAGTTGCGTCAGCAATCGAGACCATTTATTTGGTGCAGGGTGGGGCGGGTAAATTATTCATCTTATGCATCTTCCTCTATAACTTCCAAATATTTTGCAACACAACTGCCAATATCGGCTATAAGACCAACAAACTAGCACATATATATCAATCGGAACTGAGTGGCCACAAACCGAGCGCCCTTCACTGATGGAAAATGTAATTTTTCCAATATTTTGCCTCTACATTAACTTTCTGAGCAGATACTCGTCAGTCTTAAACGCACCTGCAACACCAGCAGCAGATTACGAGTTATCACTCAAGATGCAGGCGTATAAACCGCGTCCCCCGCTGTCACCTATAACTCTCGTTACTCACTTTCCTTGTGACAAAAGCACGGGTCATTAAAAGGGAATTCTGAAAACATGAAATGTCTTTGAATTTACCCGAGATAACCACTTTTTAATCCGAAATCTTTCTGGCAATAATCGCTTTATGGCACGCTGATGAATCGATGTGTGATTCCACCCATTAAAGTCAAATGAAAAAAGCTGAATTCTCATCAACTAGCTTCTAGTACCGCTATGATGATGGATTCCTACCCATGCCACCTCAGGTGTGATGAGCTCTACATCATTAGTGTTTACTGTTTACGTCACTTTCCCTTTTTCCAAACCCCACCAGTCATGCCTTTATTCTGACTGTAATACTATGACCATCCCCGACGGTATGCTACCCACTAGTTAGGAATAAATATTATTATTATAAGCACAGGAGAGTTTAACCCAGTTCTACAGTGGACACAGGCCGCCTCTTCAAATCCGTGCTGGGTAACGTGATTGTATAGGCTCCCTGCAATGCGATCCAGTATGCCGCAGCCACAATAAAAGTTCACTTACCCGAATCCTCGCTGGTGGTGGCGCTGTACAATAAAAGACTGGTTTACCTCCGTCGGTCGTATATCTGTAACACTACAAGGCAAACCGGCCTTTTTTCACCCTCGACTCTAAAAAAACAGTTTAAACTTTACCTTACCAGTTGTCAATGTGCAGAGATAAAAAATGATTTCTCTTACATCTGACGTTCAAGACCAAAGAGACTGTGACTATTATCAAATTCCACAAAGGTTATCAATTTTTTAGTCAAATCTCACAATCAGCAGCCAGTGATCCACCCAAGGATTCATTTGCACCATGCAGTGACGGTGAATATTTGAAAGGTAACCAGTGTCCCTTCAAATAAACCATAGCAGCATGTGACCTTACCAGAGATATCAGCTCAACGAATTACTGGAGCGCGAATGAAGGTTTATATTCAAAGTTTCCTGCGAGACATCGGAAAGTGGCACTCACACGATGCCCTGGGATTCAGAGGACAGAAGCACTATTGATTCTATGGGTCACGCCATTGATAAAAAGTGCGAGCAGCGTCGCCAAACGCTTCACTGAATTCAGTTAACACAGAAAGTCTGAGGGAATGGTAGCTAGCTGTTGTCGTTGTGCCACAAGAGGGTCCGCGGTACAGGTGGTGTTTTAGTGAAAACCCTGTTGGTACTTGTGGGATATCATTTGGTATTCAGGGGATCTTCCAAATGTCGGGTGCAGTTCTGGTCATGGCGTTTTCAGGCACACAAGACATACCATTCGGCCGGTAGTTCACCTCGTCGTGAGACCGTCAAACACCTTGAATAAAGACTTCGGTGGGTTGCAATTTTACCGGGACAACTCAACTACCGCAAGAAATGTCATCCTTCATCTTTTACTCCTGGTAATGAGGCCGGAAAAGTGATTCATGGATGTGTTACTGTTAAGTTAATTGCGGTATTATGGACTAATAAAGTTGTTTTGAGGTGAATTGGACTCGGACGCCACTTTCTCCTAAGTGCTCAACCCGCATAATCCCCTATAAAGGTACAGCAATCTTGGATAGCTTAACTGACTATATCATTTTTTACTAGTAAGAAAACCACTCCCAAACATCCCAGTTTGTTTGTCACATGGCTATTAAAGTTGAGCGTCGAACCGAAGAGCCCACTGGGTCCAGGAGGTGGCTTCCGTGTAGTGGAAAAAGCGTTGGTCAGAACTGACTACAGAGTTAGTAGGTGCACTTCATTCGCCTCTTCAGTCTAAGAAGAGGATATTCAGCAGAAAATCCCTGCCGTCGTAAGCTCTGCATAGGTGGCCTTCATGGCTTAAACGCTATCGGTTAGATGTGGTAGTAGATGTAAATGACCAAGATACGGCTTCGTGGAAGATATCACCATGATTACTCAAAGCGTTATCAAAATGGCTGCTTTGTGAGCACGCTGAAACTGCAACTGCGTGAATGCGAGTCATGAACGCAGTACACTCAGATTGGTAGATTTTGTACTTGTCGATAGCCCAGGCACCTGAAACGGGGATGAAATCCTATAGGTTGTTGTAGCGTCCCCTGTCGGTGGACCGCTTCAGCCTGGTCAACGGAGGAGATGTGTGTGATACTGATGACCGAGGGATTTCCTCACGCTCTCGTGGCCCAAGTGACGGAGTTCCACTCTAGAAGATAGACTCCCGTTTATCGTTTCACGGTGTAATGATGCACTGAAGAGGGCTGGAGACTATCGACGTCGGGGACTAATCATCATGTATCAAAAGTGTATTGCTGCAGGACCAAATCATTGTTAACGAGATTCTTAATGAAAATCTCCGACTCCCCTTCTTCATATGTCAGCTTCAGTTCTGCTATTGTAGTGAACACCAGGTCCCACGGCCCACCTAGTTTGTTTAGAATATTCGTAATGTTCGTCAAATTGACCAAATCTTGGAATATTTTGACGACTGTCAATGCAGAGTAACCTGTGAGTCATTCAGAACCTCCAAAGTCCTGATCGATAGCGTCAGTGACAGGGGTATCAGGCGAGTCCGCACCCTCCGACGCATCACCCGAAAGCCCCAAATTGTAAGGCCTTTTTAGCCACGGGCCACTTGTCTACACTTCGACAATGGAGCGTCTGGAAACCGTACTGCACCAAGGGATCACAGAATGAAACGCACGAACATTTAGGCCGGTGATTGCCTTTGTACACTATTTCTATCTTCTGAAAGGCACAGAATAACCTTCCGTATAGCAAATGTCGCAACAGGCATTCTTGTATGTGGTTTCAAGCGGATGACAGGTTTTACGCAAGATGTGACCATTGCTTCAACATCAGGGAGCATTCCTCGAAATCAGTAGCGAAAGATTTAAAGCCACTTTCAGGCGGATCCCGTGAAAAAGCTGAAGTGATTTCTCAAAAGATGGCGCAATTAGGCATCTTCCGATGACGATGAGGTGGAACAGATGGTTTTTCTTCGGAAATAATTTGCCGGTTTGAAGCAACTATTTGCTTCCTCTGATTTTTCACACGTCTATGGTTGTCCCAGCGGCGTTGTTTTGTTTCCTGGTTGACGTTAGTTTGAAAAGTTTTGGAATCATAGCCCTAGCTTCAGCGGGACAATCGTTTCCGTGTTTGGGGTTCACAGCTAATGATCAGAGATTAGATGATGTGCTGGAACAAGCGCGCACTTCACACAGGATTAGTGATCGCCGTCGGAACAAACTTCCGTGCGCGAGCGCTTTGGTTAAACCTTAAGTCAGATCCACCCCCGTGGTCTAAACTGCTATTAGGTGAATGCTTCCACTTTTGTGGAGTACTAGTGACTCAACGACAAAGGGCGCCACCAGTGAATGCAACTTTGTGCTTGTGCTGAGACATCAGAAACGGGAACGGGCCATAGCCATCCCAAAAGAATTAGCGCGCCCCCAGTTATCATGCATTTGATATTGTAGAGCCCTAAAGTCGCGATCTGATTTTTGCCGCAGTTCCTGAAGAAGCCGGTACATTAGTTACGTTTATGCCTGTAACAGGTTCCTCAAAAAAGATCAAGAAATTTGGTAACCACAAACCAGTGGACTTCAAGGAGGTTACTAACGCCGTAATACCCTTAAGATGACCGTTGCTGTGAGAGGAATAACAGTGGTCACCACCCCGGTGAGACGTCCAGATTCATGGTATTATTATCACAAATGTTAGTTCAAAGGGCAATTGCAAATGTTCCATCGACTTGCCCTATCACATTCACGTAGCTCTTCTCCTATTACTCCCCGTGTAAAAAGGAAACACCAGCAATATCCCCCTAGCAATGCTGCATGGGATCATTTTCACTCGGTCTGGTGAGGATGTGTACCACAAATCTTGAGAAAATTTATAATGCATTGACACCTTTCTTCGGGGAGAAGCAATCGGTAAACATTTAGTTTAGCCACACAAATCATAGGTCAGAAGTGAAGGCCAACAATTTTCAGTTTCTCCAGTAATATAACATGGGTGTCTCATCAACAGAAAATTCCTGTTTGTCACAAGCGTCATTGCAGAAAGTTATAACACTTGGCATCTTCAACTCCGTCAAGTCACAAGGTTCGTTATTCTTCGAAAGTTTCGCGCCGTCTCTGATTTGTAAATTGGTTGTAACATCAGTAGGAACGAAACTGAACTTAGAGCTGTCGATGCATCAATGAATTTTGTCCCGAGGTCACGCGCCAGTTTGAGCTTCGACGCCGATGTGCTCTTCTGATCGCGGGGTGTTTCATGCTGCCCTCCCAGTTTGTTTCAAGGAGTGAAACCCTTCTTTTCTGCTTCATCATTAATTCTTCATTTCTTCTGTTGTGTTTAAACATAGATGGTTAGGCCCATACACGTTTGTCAAAATTGTAGTTTCTAATAGAACAGTGGATATATATCTGCGTGGACCCCAAAAGTGTCTTGAAGAATATCGTTGGTGGATATATGTCACTTATGATGAAGGAAATTTCACAGTCCAGAAAATAAGAAGGGCAGAATAACCATGGCAGCAGAAACAAGTGGCTGCTCTCTATCGTCCAACCCTCTGATACTGCTGGACGAAGGGTCCCTCGCGAACTATCTGAATACGGCGCACCAGTGCCTACTATCCCGACACTAAGGGCGGACGTTACAAACTAGGTAGAATTCGATGAAATGCTATCTGAGTGAGTTGTGAGACAGCATACGCCTTGACACGTATACGCAATGGAGTTCCGGGAACGTGTGAAGACCTGATATTTTTATATACAGGGCAGTCTTCGGCCGGAAGTTTCCAACTTTTGAGGCCATCTTTCTCATTACAAGAGTGTAGTATTTTCTGGAAAGAATATAATCATATGGAACAAATAACGTCCGCTCGCGTTAGACAGGTTCGATTTGGCGAGAGGTTCTCCGTCCTGGACGAGCAATCTGAATCCAGTCAATGACTGCACATTTCCTCTTTTTTGGGCTTAAATCCACCCGTTGCCATGTCATTTGCGGGCAGAGCTGACACCGACCAGCTTTTCATCCAGTTGAGACCGCAACCGAACTGCAGTTGGTTTTAGGATTGTGGAAATTATACCTACTTATCCTAGTGCTGTTTTGGAGTGAATATGCTAGGTGTCCCGTGTAAAACAACCTATTTGTCTCAGGTTCTATGTACATTGACTGGTAGACGTACTAGATGATCCCATTTGGGCCACGCGTTATAGAAATCGTTGTTTAGACAGTTTTGGTTCAGCTGTTGCTTCAGGGAGACATGTCCGAGAATACTGGTGGCATAATAACGTGGGATGTTCTTTCCACCGTAGGTAGGGTAAATGTCGAAATAAATATGGATGGTTTGCCCTTCTGGAACATCGTGCAGAAATAGCTTATGGTTTTACTTGCTTTCGAGTTTACAGATTAGTTGCTTGAAGTCATGCGTTACTCCGTGTATCTGGTTTTATCATTCATGTTGACCGTGATGTGAATTTTGAAGTGGCAATTTTGTGTAAGGCTTTCTCGGGTGTCAAGGTGGTGAAGTTGGTATCGACTAATCACGTTTCTTTGAGAGCTCACTGTATCTAGAGACGCGTAATCGCCTTGTTAGTGATGAAACAGCGTTTGTGGTTCTGTGTTCTATTCGTTCTCACAAATCACTGTTCATCACCTGACAACCGATTCATTATCAAGCTTGAATTTGCTCACCTTTGTGGTAAACCTAGGCCGATCCGAAGATGCTCACAAATATGGAAGGAGAATAGAATAGATATTTACTTGATGGTTGGCATCCGATACGGATCTGCTTGTCAAGAGTAGTTGGAGCGCACGATCTATGGGCGCACCTGATAAAACATAGATGTTTTGCGTGGAGCCGGATATACCGTTGCGGTTGGGCCTTTGATCCCGGGGAGTAGGACCTTCGGAAAAAGTCGAGGCGGTCGGTTGTGATCTCTCAGGCAGTGAATGCAACGGTAACTAACACTGAATCAAGTACTGTCGTCATATGTCGGATTCTTTACGTCTAGATGCAATGTTGCACTTATCCCGCAATGTATCTTGTGGCTCTGTCCGCGGGGTCTGTCAGGGACAAACCAGTTTGGTTGTCACGGATAGAAAATCAGTATGATTGGAGCGGATGCATCGTTTCGTGCATGGGGAGATAAAATTGAACTGTAAATATCACTTCTGTCTTTGGTCTCTCCGTCTATAATAGTGTTCACTCGGCCAATGTTCTGCACCTCTCTGGCTAGATCGTCACAAATGCCGGAATAGGAGGGTCGCGGACACGGATACTCTCCCCAAATCTCCACACTTTGAGTGTGTGACTTTATTCAAGGCATATGGACCCCCAATCAGAGAATATACTGATTTCGTACTATAGATTTTAGGAAATCTGATTAGGATCTGAATCTCAGAGAAGTTTCGACCACTTCAATATATTCAGACGGACCTGTGTGGGAACGAATCGAGCAGAGTGGATATCTACCGCAGCTTCATGAGAATGTGTCATGTCTTTTGTGCATCACAAAAGCTACTTTTGCCAATCAGAACACTCCGTCCTTTGAGGGAACACAGCGTATCATGAGAATTTGAAGGCTAGTGAGATGGGGTGTGAAGTTGCCCTTAATTTACCCGCAGTCCTTGAGACAGTGTTCTTTTCAATGAGGACTGAAACGGTTTTAGGCTATACCATCACATGAGTAACACGCTGGCTTATGTGTCACATTTAGTCTCTTGGCCCACATTCTCGGTGAAAAGAATGTGGTTAATCACGGAAGCTCCGTGGCTCGAACCCGAACCATGCCTTTCGACTTCCCCTGTCCAGGCTTGGAAACCTGGCAGTGTCCCAGCCTTCGTGCTTCCTTTGGGTGGCATGGCACCTAGGCATCGCAGGAGTACTACATAATACCGCTTTTTATCTATTACGTCGAAGACGTGTAACCGGACTTAGCGTGCGGACCTTATCAAGTTTCTCATGGACGGACTGTTTTCAGACTTGACCACTTAGATTGAAAGCTTCCAGTGTAACCGTCCCTTTCAACTAACGATGGACAGCCCTACCTCTCATTCTAGAAAAATCAGCGGTCCACTCCCCCAAAGATTTGTGTCCTCACCGACGCCATTACTTCTTTGGGGGAGCAATCTCCTATCGACCGTTACCTCTTCACTCCACCTCTTCTCATACGATACCACCACGTAACAACTGCACACAGTCCATTGCTTCCCCTAAAGCTAAACCAATCAACGTCGTTGCACTGGATTTTTCGAAACAAACAATGTCCCCCCCGTAAGACCTTCCGTATGTTCATCTGCATTTATAATTCCACTCGACATGGATTTGTTAACGGGATATACTTCATTCCCCATTCCTTGCTGCTCATCCTTCTTGGCCCATCCTTTTTTGACAGCTTAGTCTGCCGCTCAGATGTCATCGTGATGCGAGAATCTAGAAAGATTGCTTTTCTTTTCTGGCCATGTGATTTAGATGGCTCAGTGCGAATTTACTGACCGGAAGGTCCGTGGTTCTAACCCGACTTCTGCATCTGGATATCTCCTGTGTGGGCTTGAGCGAATTGACCCTCGTGCTTCCTTCAGGTGGCATGGCAGCTAGGCATCGTAATAGCGCAACAACTGAACGATTATTACTTCTGGCCGTGCGAGCACTTCACCCCTATCCGAAGTTTTATTTTATGAACCCCAAACTCTCCATACCATAGACTACCGCTATGCAGCTTTCCCTTTCTCTTCCTTATTTTGATGAACCTAAAATTGTACGTCTCATCTGTACCCGTTCGTTGACTGATGACCTGAAAACACTTAGTTTCGGAACGTAGCCTCTCTTCTTTTACCCCACTGTTACTGCCACATATGTGCCTATAATAGTTTGCCACTACTATCCGTTCGCCCATACCCCTCGATCGGAAATCGCATCAGGTTCCTGCTGCACGTTGCAGAACCGATTTTCCACATTTTCAGCAGCATTCCTCTTTGGAACTTATTGTGTCTTAAACTTCGGTGGCTCGTTACACTCCCAACTATTCGGAAGCCAGGTTAATGTCTATTTCAACCCACCCTGAGGATTGTGTTGCTTAATGTACAGTTTTTTGTCATTCATCGTTATTTTCAGGGGGGTCTCCGACCATATTTCCTCCCTCTGTAATCCAAGTCCGTGCAATAAAGATATTAGGCCGAGAGAATATGGGGCTGCGCCAGCTACGAAATGAAGGCAGTGGCTTTGATGGAAGGCCGCCAGTGGATGCCTGTTATGGCCGTATATGTTGAGGTCAATAACAGTGGCTGCGCACCATCCCGGCCTCCTCATCCGGAATGAGAGACAGCGCGGTGGTGTTGAATTAAAATGGCTTCTTCGTCTCGTTGTGTGGCCATGAACTAACTGCCCCGGATAGTTCTTGTCCTGCACATGGCAGGACAAAAAGGACTCTGCAAGATAACGGGTCTTTACAAGTCATGTACTGAAGCTATGGTACGAAATTATCTATATAAGCGTGCTATTGACTACTGAAGAACAGAATCACACTGTTGCACTAGAGAGAACTACCTCAACCTAACAATCTGTCCAAGTCATGGAATTTAATGGCAGGATCTTATTGCAAACATAGAACTAGCGAGTTATACCGTTATCGGGGATGGGTTTTACTAATGTAGGCAGGTGACTTGGTTACCCCAAGTAGGGCGGAAACTCACTTGTGATCGATGGTGCTTAGCTCCGTCTCCGAATGTCCTTTATTGCCAACAGGATTTTCTAGCTGAGTTGTCGAAAACTCGGCTCCAGATAGCTATTATAAATGACTAACCTACGACTGGCATCATGGAATTGCGCGTTACTGAAACATTTTTCGAGATCATCTTCATTAGCTTGATCGATAAGTTTTGTTTCCGAAATAACCCTTAGCGTCACTGGTCAGAAATATTTAAATACCAAGTTACCAGTCAGCGGGCGCTTGGAGACTAGTACGTTAGGATGGGTGACATTTCGATTCATAGTTCTTTCAAATTAGTACACACCAACAATATTTTTAGTTACCTGCTTCATGCACCTTTTAGCCACCTACAATGTGACTAGATGGAGCGCCTGATTCGGAAGATTAACACCAGCCCAAAAGCGAGACAGAAATATGCATCAGAAGGTTCCAAACAGTTTGGTGTACCCTTGAAGTTTCTCGTCAACTCGGCTACAGGAGAATTTGTTCCTGGCATCGTGTGTAATATTTGCGAGTGCATTCTAGTTACCTGCTCATGCACCTTTTAGCCACCTACAATGTGACTAGATGGAGCGCCTGATTCGGAAGATTAACACCAGCCCAAAAGCGAGACAGAAATATGCATCAGAAGGTTCCAAACAGTTTGGTGTACCCTTGAAGTTTCTCGTCAACTCGGCTACAGGAGAATTTGTTCCTGGCATCGTGTGTAATATTTGCGAGTGCATTCTACAGAACGGTTTGAGCCTTCAAGGAATATTTCGTGTGAATGGCGGGGTGCGTCTGATTGAAACTTTGAGGCGCAGTTTGGAACGATCGGGGGGATGCAGTTTGAACGTTACCGAAGCAACAGAGTTGTATGCACTTGCTGGTGTCCTGAAGCTTTTCCTTCGCGAGATACCGGATGGTCTAATCCCCAAAGAACACACGATGCAGTTCGTTCATGTAGGTTCGCTTTAAGGGCCTCGGGATTTGATTCGTCTCCAGTAGACGAGATTTATTTGATGCTCTTATCGGATGTTCTTAATTTACCCTGATTTTATGCATTTGCTCGACATTTCACGCAGCAAGTTCCAATTGAACTCATACTGTCCGCTGATATACTGCAAGATTTCATGGATTTGACGTCAGCACTTTCGATTCACGTCTGTCTATGCATGACCTTCCCTCTTCCTTTTTCTTTAATTTCTGGTGCATAACCACTTGATGAGTTGAATTCATTGTACCTTATTAGTGATCTCCAGCTAATGTGTCGAAGCTACAAAGATTCACGTGATTATCAAGAGTCTTGTCAGCTACGTCCTGTAGTATGACTAGTCCTGTCGGACGTGACCTTCAAGTGCATGTGGTTGTGTTGTTGCCATCGAGAATCGCTTACGAAAGTGTCACATTCTGTTTTAAACTAAACTTTGGTTATCTTTACTTCCTATTCTCTTGGTGTACTCGGTAGTCGAAGTGTGCTAGGCTAGCTTAAGAATATTTAACACTTCCACCTGCACTTTGGTGACCGTCTGTTCAGTTCAGGCTGGTTTTTTGACAAATGTGACCACATCCCCCGTACTTTCATCAATAACGTCCCTTATCTGAAGCACGCATTGTGCATTTCTGTGTCTATTACTAATAGCATTCATTCGGACTGCACGCAGCTCATGTGATTTTATTCTCGATGAGATTTCCCCTTTCGCTGTGGATGACGCATGTATTTCACTCCCCATCGTTCGGGGGGGGGATACGATGGCGTTAGGACGCAAGGTGTCCCACATCGTTCTACTCATTTCAAGTTTAGTTTTCCGTGTTGTCGTCTGTAGTTGTTATTTTACAAGGTATTTTGCCTTCATTGTTCACTTTCAAATACAACTCTGTGTTTTTAACTGAAGTTGAGCACGGAACAAGGCGACCATGCTTATCCCTCAGATATTTTCAGTTTTTAGCCATTTGTTAACGTCAAAGGTTCCTCAGTATTTAAGCGACACAGTACTCTGTTCACCCGTCGCAGCGATTCTAGTCGGCTGTTTACCGTTGATGCTCCCGACTAAGAGGACATCTCACTGAGGGCTGTTGAACACTTCCATTTTATCCTGTGTTTTAAACAGTTTTCGCGTGTGTAATGGAATTTATCGCTCCTTTTGGAGTGAGTGATTCCACCACTCTATGCTCTTTCCTATTTTTTACTGCGATGTGTGTGGTGTGGTGAACCTCTTAAGTGGAAATCAGCTCCGGCCATCACATATTACCTATAAACTTTCATGAGAGAATAAACGGAATGCTTTATCACGATGTATTCTCATACAGCAGCGAAGGTATCGAGTATTCAATGAGCATGTGGTTTTACTACCATTTCTCTGCTTACGCTCTGTCTTTATTACGTCCAGTCTAGCGGTTTCGGGCGAGTTGTAGTGTGTCTATAGCAGAACAAACTAGCCACGAAACAAACTCGTGCCAAATAGAGCACGCTTATATGGCGGAATATTGTGTCAGAAATAGCCTTGAATTTAACCACTCGGCGCAAGAAGTGACCATCCATTTGTAAAACCAGCAAGTCTCGTGTTCGGTTCTCGTTAGAACATTGCGATCGAAAGACTTTCCTTAACACCAAAATAGACCTCTCGACTGCTATCTCTTGGAAGTTTCATTGTGTGGGGGTATAGTACGAGCTTATTCGTGGGTGATTTATGGAAATCTCTCGAAGCACTGCTGTTACAATGGATATCCAAAAAGAACTGTCATTCCTTCAATTCATGCATGTTTCTTATTCAAACAGGTATCGTTTAGCTATCAATCCGATCCAGGGTTACTAGAATATGCAAAGATGTATCGTTTTCGGAAAATCGGACAAACCCTGTACATTCTTAGATGAGCTGATATGAACTGGCAAGTATTGCCTGCGTAAGTGTACCGGCATATAATCTCGGTCAATACTTCATATAACTGAAATTCGTCAGGTTGTTCGCAGAGTTGGGAGACGTTGCTACGTCACTAATTAATCAATGCTAACCAGGTAACTATGCTAGGCACAAGGAACGGGATAATCAGAGGATTTGAGTTGGTGGCAGCATTATGTGGCAAAACATGTACGCCGGTACCCCTGCAGGATTACGCCGCACGACAATGCGTGACCTCTGTCGACGCAGGATCTTCATGTCCTTACCATAGTGTAGATTAAACTTAATAAATGCGCAAGCAACCGGTCGATTTCTCTCGTGATTTCTTCTGGTTGATGAACTCATCGTGCACCACATTCCGTATCAATCAAACCATACGGTGCGCATTCCATGTCACCATGTAATGAGAAGCTGCCTTCTACCCAACCTTAAGTAGCTTAGTGGTATTTCATTGCGCACGCTTCCTAGCAGTTAGCAGTTAGCAGTTATATACTTAAATGATTAGATTCTTTACTCCGAAAAGAGCAAAATCTCTAGTGGATCGTACAGAGCTTTCGTCGACCTTCTGAGTAGTACATTTTTTTTCGTTATTGCACGCTTCCAGCAGTTAGCAGTTAGCAGTTATATACTTAAATGATTAGATTCTTTACTCCGAAAAGAGCAAAATCTCTAGTGGATCGTACAGAGCTTTCGTCGACCTTCTGAGTAGTACATTTTTTTTCGTTATTTAATCAACAGTTCTGATGAACAGTGCGGCGTTCATTCCAGGAAGACAACATACTACAGGTCCTTGTGTCAACATAGTCTTTTCAAATTTTTCATAATTTCATCCCTAGTCCATAAGTTGGATCGTCCTTTAACTTCTGGTGGTGCTCGTACAGCTCCAACTTGCTACTGTGGTGCTTAGTCTAAAGCCAATAAAGTAATGCTAGTTCTTTTCAGAGACAACCAATCTGGTAAGTTTTTTTCGATGCGGCGGCGCAGTTTTACCTGTTGAACTTCGCAAACATCAGCGTAAGTACCAGAATTACGTATTAAAGTTTTCCTTAGAGCACATGACAGTGTCCATAGAAATTTCGTATTTCTACCCTTTTTAAATCGTATGAATGGTCAGTTGGTGGGGAATGTCAGGCGACCTGTCATGTTGTCACACCAGGGAAGTGGTTGTTGTTTAACGTGATATATCGCATCCTTGTCCACTCTCGCTTAAATGAGATAGCAGTGGACATCCCCGGAGCGAAATGTGCCAGTTCTCTGGGGCAAATTGACATCATTTGATATGAAATAACAACTCCTGGCGGCCTTATAAGTAATACATTACAAAGATATATATGTATCGCGATATCTCGAATATCGTAGCGACTGAAACATGAGGCGGCCTGGTGCAGCACGTTCAGTTGCCTGAGAACATCACAAACGAGAGATTCAGCTGGGTTCCAGGTGAGTCTCTCGAAAAACCAAATTAGTTTGCAAATGAGTGTATATTCGCTAACAACTCCTGGCGTTCACTATAATATTTCCGTGTCCAAGTTGGTCGACTGCTCTCAAAAGATTTCTGCATGTTTGCCCACTTGTTTTTCTGGTATACATCGATATTGAGGGCGTATAATCGACTCTGCGCAACCCCCGGTTTACATACTGTGCGCAGGCGTCCATTCGTTCAGCCTCAGTGGACTTGCAGGTCGTTTCCGGACATCACCCAACCATATCAAGGTGACTTAGTAATCTGGTTACGACAGCTTCATAGTATCCTCCAGAGTATTCTTAGCTTCAGTTGTTTTGTCAAGTCTTAAAGTAGTTGGTATGCTTTGAGCTGGTATAGTACTCAGAAATTTGTTACCGGTCGATTTTACTGATCGTCCCAGCAGTCTACTTTACGCACCCCGTCTAAATTTAGCTGATGTTGCTGGTTCTATGTTTGGTTAAAAGATTTAGGATTGTCTCTATGTTTTCTTGGTGATTCGAAGTGAACTATGTGGATGCTTAGTACAAAGTAGTTAGGTCAGACTGGCCGGCATTGTAACTCCTATCCATATCTTGGTCTTTCTGTGGGAGATTTTACTTCGCATTGGATGTGATAAAGCCATCGAATATCATGGCACATAATGTTGCTCCCAAATGAACTCCCCTGTGCAAGGCAGGTCTACTTAATTCTAGCCTCTGCAAAGTGCACTTTGCCCACGTTTCTCAGCCACACATAGTCGTTTGCCTTTGAAAGGTGCGCACAGCCATTGGAACAAACAGCACGCTTATTAAAAGTCTGGATTTCATGCAGCGCATTTCTATCAGTCGATTTAAGTTAGCATATGCGTATGCACATAAATTGTGGTCGGCAACTTCACATGAACTCCCGGTATGTCACATGTCTAGCCAAGAATGTCACCGGTGTGTTTGCACTAAGGGAAAAATTGGAGACACTCATGCCAATCAAATAAAAAGAAAGGCAGAAAATGTGTCCCTATGAACCTCACATGTACATGTCGGAAGTAATGTGGATCTTTTGACATCTAAATTTGCCCACTTTGTGAAATGACCTTGAGAACATGGGTGAGATTTATTTCGCCATCACCTTCAGAAGTTCGCTACCGACCATTTCGGACGCACGGCTGATGTCTAGGAAAAGTGACCTAACGACTTTGCCGTTACGATGCCCAGCATATAAACTGGTACGAATTTTCAGTCAGCAGAGAAGCAATTCGGCCATTTGAAAACACCATCAACTAGTTAAAAAACCACTGATACAATCACTGGTACAAGCGTACTAAGCAGCAGCATTTCTCTAGTAAACAGTGGTTACCGCCTCAGTGATGATGTCAGCGCATACACTGGACAATTTGGCTGGCAGGAGATTGGGATCAGACCTCTTCTTAGCATTCTGTTGAATAAGTTACTTGCACGTTGGTAATATGACCTTATAGTTTGAGGTAAACAAACTCGTTAGGTTAGTTGTTCTCACCAATGAGTTTAGAGGTCAAACAAAGCATTTCTAGGGCTGCTGATAGATTACTGCCTCAAAGCGCTCACCTCGTTTGGACGTATACTCCGTTCGAACGTTTGCGCTTCTATTTCTCTGGAACCACTCTACTCCCGTCATATTTTTCTGAATATGCTCCTTTCTCACTCCGAAACTGCTACAGAGGCGCCATCGAAAATCTGTTAGCTATGACAGGACAGAAAAATTAGAACAGATGATTGATTACGTGTATTAAAATAGTTTAATCCTGAAAACTAGGAAAAATTAATGGCCAAGAACATATTCCTCATTTAGTGGATTTCTTTGTTATTATGGACAGTTTATTGATTCATTTGCTCTGGTGGCCTTTTTGTGAAAAAAATGTTTGAATACTTTTCGAGTACACCTCTTTTGAGGCAACTAAAAGGGCAATGGTATGTTGGGTCAAGAGGGACATGGCAACGTGTTGCATGTTTTCATGCTTTTTGTACGGTCAAGTTGAGCGTGAATTCCGTTGAGACATGTAATATAGCAACGAATCCACGGGATTTGGACTGCATCAGCCCAACGGATTAAATTTGTCGGTTGGGTTACGAAGACGCGAAAAGACTGGTTTAGCCAGGGAATTCCGTCTAGCGGAAAAACATGCTGTGCCCTTTGTGTAGTTTCATGTGGTCCATGTGATGTCTGTATCCCAAAACTAAACAATCAGTGTTTTTTAATAAAAGTGATGCAGAACGTACGAAGAACGACAATGTATGTCTTTTATACGTGATGATTCTGCCTTTCTACATCAAAAGAGCTCCCTGGCGATCGATGCGAAATAGACTTAGGCCGTCAAGTTTGCTGGGCTCTTAGCTGCTATCAGTGTTCGGTCAGTTTTATGGTCATGCTATGGTCAGGCAGTTCAGGCCGATTCTTCTCCTCCCTATACGTTTGACGGACATCACTGGATACTATTGATGATGCATGCATCCTATAGATATTGTCCCGCCTGATTGATACCAACCAACCCGCCTAATGCTGTCTTGTTCATTCAAAGTGCTTCAAAATGGACTGTTTGTAAGTATCTCTTGCGTTTCGATCGATTTATTTCCACTCAGAATTACCTACTTTGGAAACACTTCGGTTGAATATTCTTCCAGCCCGAATGTTTTGGATATAGTCCATTGAACTGTTAGTAAGATTACCAGTCATCTACGAAAGGCACGTTGATTGTAACTGCCTCAGTTTCGATTACCGAGAAACGAGACATCGGTGGAAATATAGGATAGCGTTGGGTGCGATTCCCTAATCAGTTCATACTGAACTATTCTGGTTATTTGAAGGAGCTGGAAACTGGACAGCTACGCATCGAGGGCGACAGCTTTGTTGAAGGTGTCCTATGAACTGCATGACTTAACCATAGCTTTCAGTCTCACTAACCACCGTTAAGTTGAGTCCCTCGGCCGTAATCGATGTTAGCGTCAGTTGTCAACCCGATTGAGTGTACCGGTTGATACTTTGACAATTTGTGCTTATTCGCCTGTCCGGTCATTTCCACTCAGCACAGGTGAGTAGGTTGAGGTAGATTGTCCTCTTTCATACGAAGCGCATACTCTAGCCAGCGTAAAATCTGAGGTATGGGCAGCCCATCCGTCGCCGAATTTTTCTTCCCCTTAAAATCGTCCAGCGTACTTCAGCGTCATTGAGGAATTGTCTCCACCAAACCCTACTTATGCTTCGGAAACACACTGTGAAACGTCGAGAGTTTTCGCAGATCCTCCGCGCTTTTCATCCATAATAATGCAGTATAGATCTCGTGTCGCAGTGTGTACTCTTTACTGGCCTCACGCCGGTGTTTTAAGTGTTGGAGGTTTTCAGACCTCCAACCCCGACCTGGCCTACGCGAGTGATGATATCGTCTCCAGTCCGTTCATGGGGACTTATACAACTGCCCAGGTAAATAAATTTGTCCACTACTTCGACTGACGCGCTCTTGTAGCAGCAGTTTATACTTTGCAGGTGTGGATCGCATATGAAGCCGTGTGGCAAAATTGAGGTTATTTAGAATCTGCTGAATCCCTGAAGCATTTGAAAAAAGCAGAACAACATCATCTGTGCACTCAGTGTTCGCGAGCGGCCGACCTGGGAGCATTTCAACTCCTGAGGTTTCCGAGGCGGGTAAAGAAGTCTCGAGCAGCATAATAGCAAATTTAAATGATTTGTTGTTGAAGTCTCCTTGCTTCACTGGACTTGTTGAACTCAAGTAAAAGCTTATATCCGGATGTACGTACAGAAGTTTTATATACAATGTCCTCATAAGGGATAAAAAATGTAGAATGAACACCTTTATTTGTCATGCATAGTAATAGTTTCTGACGGTTGGCAGAGTCAAAATCAGTCTTCAGATGAAGGAAAATATGACCACTGGACTTTCAAAAGACTGGCACCTTTGCAGAACTCCTCCAGCTAAATATATGCTCAGTGTGTCCTTCGTCAGGGCGCAAACTAGTTTGATTTCCACGAATCCGTCTTTACCAGTAACCGAACAACCTGTTCAGAATAGTTTCATAGGGCGATTCGGGTGTATCGACTGCCATGTATGCGTTCCTTCTGTGTATTCGGATAAAGGTCGAAGCCCTCCATTCCACTGATATTCTGTTTTCGTTCCATATCATCCGCAGTAAGGTAATGAGTCTGTTCACTAGAGCTTCACATTATCTTAAATGTGCTTGGTACAGATCATCCGGGTTGGGTGCTTTGTCGCTTTGAGGGAATCTTGTCTCGTGCTGAATGTTGCGGATGGCAAAATCGAATCGATGTTTCATTCAATTTTGGGAGGTTCTGTAAGAGACTGTGTTGAAGGGGGCCGGCTGAGCTACTCTCTAAAGTTTCCAATCCACCATCGAAAGCGACTATTTTGTTAATGAAGTGTGGTCCATCTTTTCCGCATATCATATTGTTGACACCATTCTTCTTTTGACCAACTGACTGAATCGTCCAAGATGATCCTTGGCTGTTTCGTGCAGCGAAAGCACTCCGTCTCCTTCACTTTCATAACCTTGCATACTGCGTCTTTATTCAGGCTCTAGATTATCCAGAGTTTCAGGAGTCTGTGCGCCGTCATAGTCCTTAATTATTCAAATGACTGACATCAAAGAGACTTGATGTAACCGATATCCAGTGTTCATTTGATCGGTTCGGATGGTTTGGGCAGACAGTCCTAAAAATTGAGAGAATAGTTCACTTCACACTTTCATTTAATCTCTCGCCGATCTCCATTATCAGCGTCACAATGTTTCCAGTCACCTTCCAGCCAGGTCAGCTGGGTACATTTGAGTTGCTGAAAATCATCTAGGTTGGTGTACGGAACTGTTCTGTTTCGACCGTAGTTCTCAAGGGAAACAAACTGGTAACCAACCCCCCACAATGATATGATCGGGGAAAAGTTGCGTACCCGAGAAAGAACAGTAATCTTTAATTGAGGCTCCCCCTAGGCAACTGGTGAAAGGAAGAAGGCCTTCGATGCGGAGTTATTTATTAGGAAATGCCAACTGACCGGTTACAGACCATTGGGCAGAGAAGCAAAACTCTCATTTTCATCTTATTTACAAAAACTGGACATCCATCTTCTCCTGAACGCGTCTTCTTGAACTTTCCTGGATATTTATTGACTCCAATCATTCATCGGTCAAATCTAAGCAAATGTTACAAAGCGATTCCACAGATTCCGCAACAGATCTCCCCTCTTCAAAAGACGCAAAGCGAAATTCCACGAGCAACACATACTACTCGCGTGCCTCCCCATCAGTAGTATCACCGCTACACTGGTAGCCAGGTGGCCCAACCGGCAGATTGACCGCGATGAACCATTTTATTGGGGAAAAGAGAGTTTGTGAACGAAGAGTCGCGAGGGCGAACTATACTTCCCTGTTGTTCAGGCCGAGGAATAGGATTTTTTATAAGGCACTTCACCTTGAGCTTTCGACTTGAAAATGTGACATACAAGGCAATGGGTGTAGGGTTTTCTTGAAGGACGCCGCCCTTAGTCAATTACTCAGTAGCCTAACCTGCTTGTTTGCTGGAGACTGATCAAGCTAGAGAACGCGTTGTGTAAGGCGTGCTGGCACCTCACACAGCAGATGCGTTTGGAATCGAATAGAATTCTTAGTAGGTTTTGAATGTATTTCGACCGTATTGGATTATTGGCCGGCGGTTAACCGTCGGCCCATTTGGGTGTGTGGGTTTTAAGGTCAGCGTTTTCTGACTCGTCCTTCGCTGCTTCCATAACTATTGCCATGCTGATTGGCTGGAATAAAAAAACTTACTGACTTAACACGCATCACAGAGGACACTTCGACTCTGTCCAGATGACCTCGTATTACGGCTATTCGTAGTACGGGGACCCGCTACTCTTCATCTGGCTTCTCACCTTTTTTGGAATCGGAATTCTTAGTAGGTTTTGAATGTATTTCGACCGTATTGGATTATTGGCCGGCGGTTAACCGTCGGCCCATTTGGGTGTGTGGGTTTTAAGGTCAGCGTTTTCTGACTCGTCCTTCGCTGCTTCCATAACTATTGCCATGCTGATTGGCTGGAATAAAAAAACTTACTGACTTAACACGCATCACAGAGGACACTTCGACTCTGTCCAGATGACCTCGTATTACGGCTATTCGTAGTACGGGGACCCGCTACTCTTCATCTGGCTTCTCACCTTTGGGCCTTCTAGCAGGGTTGTATCTTGCTGAACGGAGTTCTAGTCAGTCTAGCCAGCGAGGTCATCGAAACACCCAAGTCTGACTACCACCGCGGCAAGGTGGCAGCTTTAGGTCTGGGCTAAAATTGTGCAAAATTCCAAATTGGGACGCCTTACCATTAGTGAGTCTTAACTACCGACCCTTCATGCTTTTCAATCGACGGAAAGCATGGAACCAGTCTGTCCAATGGCTAGCCCTTGCGACATTGGCGCAAAGTGCGGCGTGAATCGAGTTACGATGTGCATGGCCGAACTGATTTTGCATATTACTGACTTGACATCATGATTGACATTTAATTTCTTCCGCCATCTATGTAGTGGTCGATGCTTTTTTTGTTAATCATGCTAAGGGTAAAGCTTATCCATTGTGCTCTAGAATCTTTATATGCTTCACATCTGATAACATGCTTAATTTATATCGTCTCCAGGTTGTGACCGAATCGGAAAAGAATGGATCCGTTGATACAATCAAACTGGAGGCCTTGGTACAACAGCTACCGGAGGAGAATGCACACTTGCTGCACTATTTATGTCGATTTTTGGATACCATGTCTAGAAACGAATGCGAAAACAAAATGTCTGCACAAAGCCTGGGGATCCTTTTTGGACCTTGCGTTTTCCGCTTCGATTTCAGTTCACAGGTAAATTAAATAATGGCCCTCTTTTATTAGTAATGTACCAACACGCTTTGCATTGCGTTGGATCTGATTTTACGATGTGCCCTTTTGTGAAAAGTCCATCGGTCTCAGCACTCGCCTTGTTTACCTTGGGCCGGTTTCATTATTTCAGCACTTGATTCGAGCGCAGCACTCACACTTCACTGAGTACAACTCGAAAAGTACGTCTTAGGTTCTCCACCAATCGATATTCCACCAGTATGGTTTCGTTCACTGTGAGATCCTTATTCGGTAGGCTGAGGAAACACTACTCAGTAAAGCGGGGCGAAATGGCTTAAGTGGTTAGAGCGCGAATTTACCGACTGGAAGGTCCGTGGTTCGAACTCGACCCCTGCCACGACTTCCCCTGTCTAGGGTTGTGCAACCTGGCAGTATCCCAGCCCTCGTGCAACCTTCGGGTGGGATGACAGTTGGGCACCGAAAGGGTGCTACAGCTGAACGATTTTTTTACCCAGTAAAGCAAAACCTTCCCTTATTGTAGTGAACTTACCTTATTCTTACGTCGGGACTCAACTTATCAGTATCCAAACCAAGAGGCTATCTGACTAATAGTAGGTTACCAATTTGGCACAGTGCTGCAATTGTAGGAGACAATATACAGGTTATGATGTGAACTTGACTCCAACCCTGACCTCGTACATACTCTGAGCATTAGCTGTCTTGTTGTGACGCGATCCATGTCGATCTAAGCGTTTCAAGATACGGCAAATTAACGAGGATCAATTAAACGTACGATGCACCATTCAAACCTCTTTTTATGTCTGGTTTGTCTCAATAAATGAAACTCTCGTGCAGTATATTATTGGTATCTCTCTGAAAATGGTCTTTGTATGGCAGACAGCAGCAAATTAAAGTTTCTTCTTCAGGCCACCTCGTCGATTTCTACCAATACCTTTAATCCGGTGGGATATACATGCTGGTCGAATGACGACCCAGTTAGCCGAGCATACGCGTCAGCACATCCTAACGCGTCTTCATGATTGACCACCGTTTACCACAAATGATTCTGTCGTAACCCATTTAGAAGACGCAGGGCGCCAGGTAAATGTGACAACAAATCATAGTCCTATGTATCCAGTCCCAGTACCAATGACCAAAAGTGAGGCCATTGGACTGCACATGTACTGTCCTTAGCTTTGCATCCGCAAACGCTTTGTCCAGACCATCGCTCACGTGACCAGACGATCATTTTCCTACCTCACGTGAATCTCAGGCTCAGCCGCAGGACAAGCTACTCCCTTTTTGATATTTTGTGGTAGCCTGCCTGAACCCGATTTCATTTTGAACGATTTTATCTATCCTACATATTTTTGAGGCGGAAGACGACACAATAAAAAAGTAAGCTCTGCCCATTACATTTTACTCCACTTTTTCGTCTGTTCTTTTCTTCTGGAACAAATTGAGCCAGGATAAAAGTTACAGGTTTGAGATGTGTTTATCTGATGCGTTGACAGTTTTCAAGAATACACTACATCTGGCAATTGTTCCGCCACTCACCGCGAACATTTTCTCTGCGTATCATTCCTCAAATCCACGTGCATGCGCGATCGCATATCCCTTCCTCTTGCTGTGTGTATACCTGTGTGACCATAGGACGACGTTCCACACAAACGGGCTATGCGTTCCGTTTTTTTATCCGTTTTCCTCTAGGGGCTGCGCTTTCAGTCTTCCGTGAATCAGGTCATGGCAGTTCTGATTCAGTATCACGCAGACATCTTCCGACGATTTTCAGCACCAGCAGAACCCCGAGTCACGTGTCCTCGGTCGGAATTACGGAAAATCGCTTTTGTCAGTTCTTCCGACGATGAAGCCCCCAGTTCACTGCGAACAAACAGCCTATCAATCACTGACTCTGCTGAGAAGAACTTCTTTTCAACTTTGTTCTCTGATAGGTCGGGTAACCGGTACACAGCTGAACGTCTGGAACTGCTTCCCTCTATTGAATCAGCGTTACTCGACCTACCCAGTTATGTCTCTTTGAGCCCACATCCGACTCTACTGCGCACGTCCTTCTCTAAGTCCGATTGCATGAACTGCAGTCATCATGAGAGTGTCTCATGCGTGCCCAGTTGCCCGCCATCTGATTTAGTCTCCGTATCCGCTGAATGCGAACAGTCCGATACGGACACAGATTTAGATGCAATGCAACCCCAACCTGTGGATCCTCTTACAACAGTCGATTTCGTTCTGCAAACAGCTCGGGATAGCTGTGTGGCTGAGTGAGTTACTTTGCTAGCGCTCATCATGGTTTGTTGTTTTATCGACCGCCTTCCGTAGCCACGCATCCCTACTTTACCAAAACCTTGGTCGCACTCGTTGTATTACTTACCAGGTTGTTCATCGTATCCTGGTAATCATTTAATCAAATACGAGCCTACTAAACTTTTACTTATAAATTGTGTTGGCCATAAGTTTGATTAGCTTTATTTCTGCTCTTTCTTCAAGAAAGCCACTGCCTGCTATTTCCTCATTTGTAGTGGTCGGTTAGAGATGTTCACGACACCCGTGCATCATCGGGTTCGAATTCGATTCATCGCTTATAAGCCTTAGATCGGTCTTGTTTGTTCTGCCTGCCAATTCAGGTAAAATGTCCCTTCGTTGCGCTCATTGCAAAAGTGACTAACTGAACAACGAAACATCAGAGTGTGCCTTAAAACTTTTTTTTGTTCCCCCACCAAATTCCATGGGTGTTTTTGGCAAAGCATAGGATAAACTAGACATTTTAATCAGTTTATCTATCTTCCATATCTTGTTGTTGATACGGCAAAAACGAGTATTTGGTTTTTACATTAACCGGAAAAGCTGTGAACGAACGGCAAATGCAACCTTAACTGCTACAGCACACTATCTTTTGTTGGTGGCTTATACCCGTTATCTTCCACTGAATGTACGGGTATTCGAACACGTTTTCTACGGTGGACGTCACCTCGCTGCAGCCCAACTGTCGGTTATCGATTATTGTTGTTCGGGTTATGTGGATCCCCTCGGCTTCTGACCGGTCCTAATGCAATCAATGCTACTAGTATGTCCATCTTTCACTTTATCGCGATTATATTCCTTAGGGAAAGAAGTTAATTTCTTCAATGTTTCATAGTGTTTATACGTAAGTTGTGATGCACGTCATAAGTAGATTGTACAGTCATTTGTTAGCGGTAATCTGAATGTGGAGCGTCCTACGGGTATTAGGACAATTGCCACACCGTCGTGTTGCCAGTTGTCCTCTTTTAGGCCTACTGCTTTCGATATTACCGGCAATGCTATTTGCTTAAACATATCAGTGAATTGGTAATTCCTATGATGCGGAACTAAGGAGAAACGAAAGTTTGTATTGGATCTTTTCAAGTGATCCAATGGTCTCTTGAGTAAACGATGTGCATCTTTGTGTACTTTATTAGTGTCTCCGGTAAACGTAAATTGCCACACGCTTTTTCGCCGGACGAACTGAATGGTCAGTCATCACAGATCAGATCTATTAAGAAACCGTCCAACAGTAACGATTTCGTTTTTTCCCCCGAAATTATGGCTCACAATTCAGGGACCATAAGTTACTGATGGTAATTTGAGAAAAACCCAACATTTGTGTGTGTTGCCTGGACCATTTGTACTTCGTTTCATTTGACCAGGGGGAGTTATCTGGAGGGCAGGGCGTCGGCGATTATCCTAATACCCCTGCAATTGATTCATCTCATGAGAGAAGGACTTTAAGCCTATGGACCTGACCGGAAACCAAGTTGTCCCGCGGTATCTTTATTATGCGGAACAACCCGAACCTATTCAATCAGAGCAAGCTCTTGTTGTTGACTTATCTATATAGTCTCTTCCAATGAACATGTAGTAATTAACGGCCGTAAAGAATCTCTAATGGACGGAACAAACTAATAACGTAAGTTAGATATAATGTCACAAGGAGAACAATCCAAGTAAATCTCGACTCACAGTTCACTTCCGGATTTTGCGAACGTCCTTATTCCGTTGGACCATCACATCAAGAAGCGAGGTTTCTAATTTCCTCGTATTTTGGACCTCCGGTAGGGGCAATATTAATTCCTTGGTGTGAATGGATAAGTCGTGTTTGTTGCTAAAATTTTGGTTCACGTTGGAAATTACTGATAGTCAATATTGTTCAACAACAACAGCCACTCATCAAAAAGCGCAGTCTTGTTGAGTCAAAGAGGCCAAGGGCTTGTCGTTCTATTCCACTGAAAAAAAAACTTTGTACAATGATGTGATCGATGTCAACAAGGATAAAGCTGTTATTAAGCAGAAAAAATAACAGTTTACGAATGATACAAACATGCACTGCTCAAGAGTTCTGAATGTAGAAATCAGCTATCCACAGCTGTGCTGTTTTGACGAAAGAGTGATAGTCGAGTCACATATGTTTATTTTATTCGTTTCCTATAGCTGACTGCGTTAGGTAAAATAGAGAAATGGTAGCCAGTCTGTTCACTAACCTCTCTTTTAGCATGCGGTTCGACAATTTTGATATGGACATTTGGTGTGGCCCGGATAAAGCCATTGGAAAGGTGGATAATCCAACACTTGTCCAACGACTTTAACACTAAATTCCCTCGGCCGACACCCAACAGAGATTTAGCTTGACTTAGCTGATTGGTTCTCCTTTCGCCTTAAATCTCCACCAACCTCGGAACCTAGTCACTTGGCCTGACGAAGCTTTTGTGTCAAAAGCGAAACGTTGCCCGGCAACAATCTACCGATTGTCATCAAACATTTTCGAGGGAAGTGGATGACCGCTTATTTACAAAACGTGACCCCATCAATTTTACGCGTCACATCCGGTTGGGTTTATTTGCTAGCAGTTGTCTTTAACTGATCATGAGCTGGGCCGTGAAGTGGGAGCTAAAAGAACTCGAGTGAGCTATTTCTGGTTTGTTTACTTTGTGCCACCGGTTAAGATGGTCTTCTGTCCAAGTGTCTCATTTCTCCACCAAACTCTATGCGTTCCTGGTGTCTGCCTGCGTTCTCACTGCTTCGTGGATGTAGCGAACTGACTGAACTGATGGTCTGTCTTGGATTTTGCTATCCACTTACAAGAGCTTTTTATTCAACTTTGCTGTAGTTCTTGAGGAATCAAATCTAAGGTACAATGCAGGGACTGTAAAAGTGTCCTCTGCCTTATATTTCTACGGGATATGCGTACTAAGGTGACCCTAAAGCGAAGAGTTATTTCGTTGGTTCGAATACCGAGCTCCGTGCGCTTGGATGTTCTGGCCACTGCTACATGTGCCACTTAAAGCAGCTTGTGAAATCACATGAAGTCTCGACTGGCCTTCCCATACACATCTGTACGCTTTTTATTCGGTTGCGGTTGTCGGTAGATACCCCAGCCAGCAAACTATGTATGCTCACAGACCACAGCAAATAAAGCTTAAGATTATTGAATTTCCTAACCTGAAGCTTTATACAAAGCCGTCGGAATGAGGGTGATATCGTTTACTTCAAGGGGTCCCCGTTCTTCATAGCACGTGGGTACAGTTCTGGAGTGATGCACTAGTTGGACTGCATCATCTCATCAGCTTCTTAAAGTTGTCCGTTCTTCAAGATTTAGCTGTGTTAAGCAATTTTGATGACGGATGGTATGTGTTCTCAGCAGCGCTCCCAAGCGTCTACCCCAAGTCGTAACCTATGGCTGACGCAGTTATCTATGAGAACGTGCGATGTCGCTCGTTCGTAGAAATCTGTACGAATGTATATGCCCACTATATCATTTGTCGTCGAATTTCTTAATGGTACGGGTAGCTTCCTTATCGTATTTTGTTTTTTTTTATTCTTTAGTCCGATTATACAACCTCCAGACTACAAAACTGATTTCCTTGCATCTTCGGCGAGCATCCCGTACGGCCCTGATCCCAAAGTAGAGCTGAAATCCTTCGTATTTTGTTTATTCTTTAGTCCGATTATACAACCTCCAGACTACAAAACTGATTTCCTTGCATCTTCGGCGAGCATCCCGTACGGCCCTGATCCCAAAGTAGAGCTGAAATCCTACCGCTGTGCTGCCGAAATGAATTTTCCCATTTTATCTTATATACCCAAGCGAGCATCGTTTGATGTCTACTCTCCTGCCGATTTTTACGCCAATCCGCGTCCGAACAAACCGATGATCGATCCACATCTAGTGGACAACCGCGAGCTAGACATTCCCCAGATCAGTCGCGTCGTCTGTCGCACGTTTTCGTTGCCATTCCAAAAAAGCCACAAACAATCCTACCAACCACATCATCATACGGTCAGTTTATTTTTCTATTTGACGTGTTAACTGTTAGGACCTATGTCATGTGACTGAGTATTATCTGATGTAGCTTATCCCCGTAAAATACTGTGCCTTTGTGCATTGATTCTAGGCTGAAGCAACGGGAACTGTTGTCACCACGTTTCTACTCGGTTACCTCTACACTTCAATGAACTAGGTCACAAACCAGTTGCGGGACAAACTTTCAGCCCACTATCCTTCCCCCTTCCCAACTCCATTTGTCCGTAATTCATCATGAACAAAGGCCAGCAGTATAGTTTTACAGCTTGCTCCACTATCTTGTTAACTCTCTGTTCATTGTCAGCTAAACTCGCCCTTCTACATGTAACGGCTATCGAGAAAGCATTATTTTATAGAAGCTTTCCCTACTTTTTTGGAAGAAATTACTCAAAAGGATGCTGAAAACTCTTCGAACACAACCTTGCGAGAAGTCTCCCTCAAGAAATTATTCACTGCTCAAGAAACTGTGATATCTAGAATACCGCACCAATTGAAACATGAGCAGGTCTTTGCGGTACATATCCTTACCGAAAGGATCCTCTGGTATCCAGTTGAGTCTCCTTTAGAAACCAAATCAATCTGCAAATGAGCATATTTTATGCATTATTTCCTCTGCCCGACTTTTTGGCACTATTGAGGTTGTCTAGTCTATATGGGCGTTTTTCATTGTCTGATCGCTGCGCCAGCTGTCTTCACCCTGTTGTAGACGCCTGCTGGATAAATAGTATTCGGCCATGGTGTAAGCTTTTCCAGAACAACCATATTTCCTACTTCAGCTATAAGGCGCTAATCTTCTACAACTTTCAGCAGGCATATCATAACCAGCACTAACCTCGTTTCCACCCTAACTCTGCTAGTTTCCCCATGGATCCAAACTTCCGCTCTCCGATTTACTTCACGAACGTCTTGAATGTGCTGACAGGATGCTCTATTCGGCAGCGCTCCCGGAAACCGAAATGCCTCCCAGTTTTACGGCAGACCACAATGACAACACATCTTTTCCTTTAACCAGTCTTGAGAAGCGCTCAAAGTCCGTATGTCGTTCAACGGACGATGCTTTTGATCCCCTGAAGAACGCAACTTGTCTTCCAGTGGACGACTTTTCGTATAGCATCAGTCAACGACTTAGACTTCCAACGTCCGCGATGCGTTGTTCTAAAAGTCTTGAGAACATCAGATACACCGCGCCATATGTGAACTATTCCAAAGATCGTGGGTGTTCTGCACCGCAACCTACTGAAGGACGTCAGGTATGCAACAAAAAGTGATACTTTACGTTTCCTCATAACTCTGTATTATACTTCTCAGTGTGCGACTGGAACGACTGAATTTTCTACACAATAATGGTTTTTATTCTAGGTCTATATCGACTGCTTTCGTTTGCCCCTTGTTTGGTTCTAGTATGACAAGCTATTTCAATCTCATTGGTGTGTGCTTGTCATCAGTATCATCAGCAATATCTGTGTACAGTCCAGTCGTAATTTTGTATAGGCTTTCCGTTCATGCTAGGCTGTACATAGTTTTATCTCTTTTTGCTTCCAACCTAAATAGTCTAGTTTCCATCTAAGTTTACTCCTACAAGGTCCGACGAATGGTTCTCATCATTAACCAGATATCTCTTCACTCGGAACTTACTGTCGTGTTTTTGGGGATCCTGTGACAACGTACTTTCCCATAGCTGTGGCATTCAATTTCCTTTGTACCAATTGATGCATTTGTAACGAAGTTTCTAGACTAAAACTGGAATCTTTTGCTCTGTTGCTGCGTTAGAGGACTAGTTTAAAGTGTGATCAGGCGACTCTTGGTCTCATTATCACTCTGTTCTACTTCTTTGCCTTGGGTTTTAATAAGCTCAAACTTCTGGTGAGCAATCTGGCCACAAGACGCTATGTTTGATGTTTAGTGAATGCAAGGGTTCTAATCGCCTCCCTCATTTGCCCTTTTCCCAGCCTCCCTTGGCTTCCACTGCCCCGTACACTGCACCTAGTTTTGATTTCGGCTGCAGTTTGCGATCCCATAGGTACTTCATTCTCCTGACTCACCACTGAGATCTTATTCTATTTCATTTTCGGTCGAAAACTGACAGGATTGAGATATCATTCTCGAGACAGATGTTTTTCTCAACGAGCTTATATAAAACGAATCATGGATCTGAACATAGTTGCCCAGTCGTCTTCTGAGCCAGAATCCCATGGATACTAAGTATTTCACATATTTTATGTTCATTTCCATCTTTCCCGTTCACTCGATACGCAAATCGAACAGAGCCCGTTATTTTCATTTCTCTTACGCCGCAAGATTCCCCTTTCAATTCCACTGCCTTCAACTGAACAAACCACAGAAGATTTTGGATATCGCAACATTTCCTCGGTTTCTGAAAAATACACTGATAAACCCACCGATCCTACAATGAATGTTGAAGAAGAACGCATCGTCAGTGCGTCCACCACAAACTTCATGTCGCTTTCTAGCTTACAGTCTTTCCAAGAATTATTCACTGCCGTACTTGCGGAGCAGCGGCGTCGTTGTGGTCGACCGGAGCTTCTCTCTTTACTGACCGCTGAACAGGTTTGTTTTTTTCGAACGTTATACGTGCATTTCGGACTGAAATTCAATAATTTATCGGACATTCATTAAACACATGCATTCTTCTACTGTGCACTTTGAACGGTTCACCGAACAGCTGTTAAGTTGCGACCTTTGGGTAACATTTTCTGAACAGCTGTCACGGGCTAACAGCATATTGATATTTCTAGCAATATCTACCGCGTTTAACTCTGGTTGAATTTCGGGTGTGCACGTTATTTTGCGCAACTGTCAGGCTGCGTTACTGAAACTTCTGGTTTCTGAAAGCTTATTTCCGCTTCTGCATGTCTAGTGTTGTTGCCTTTTGGTGTACTTTCTGCAACAAACGTCGATATTTCCCCATTACAGGAGGTTTGTTTAATGTCTCAACTTGTCCTACTGTCATCTGCAACTGTAAGAGTTCCGTAGACGCGCTTTCCGCTGCAAAGATATTTTTGCGAAGTCTGCAAAAACATGCATGTGGAAGAATAACGTTCTGTCGGTACCGCCGTATCTGTTTGCTTGCAGGGTGTGAGATGCTAAAACAGTTACATCCGTTTTTCCTGTAAGCACGTTTCATTTTGCATACTACTATGCACTGTCGTTCCTCAGGCTAACCGGGCACGGCTTGTTACACTGAAGTTTCACGTGATCTCTTTTGCCTCCATAATGGGGTCTCACACTACACTATTGTGAACTTTACTTCCGGTATATTCTTTCAATTCCTCCATTACAACCATTAGATTCGCCTGTTGACGCACTGACTAATTCGCTTCTTCTCTCTAGCTGTAGTATACTTCTCCAGACTGTTGCATCATGAGCTTATTAATATGGCAAAGCGACGAGCTGGAGTGTGATTTCTTTCATACATTTGCATCTATTTTGAACTATATGTTAAATCCATTGTTCAAACCCACTCCTTGCTCCTCCATTACGGTTGTCTAGGTTTAGGCGACCTGGCTATTTGCTGTCGGCTTGTTTGCCGAGCTTGACAGTTTGTTTACAGTTGATAAGTCATGCTTCATGCCACAATATTGCGCCACAAACAATGATGCTGTCTTCGTCATATTCAAGCTTGTTGATGCACGCACTCCCTCACTCCTGAGCTGCTTAGAAAGGGAAGCGTTCGAAATCGTTTGTAATATTGTTGGTAAATTCATTGTTTCGTTCGTTGATCTAGGTATTAGGTTGCCAAATCAGCCACTAAACTCTGCAAACAAGATAACAAACGCTGCATCCACCCGAGCTGACAATATTGCGTGATAGCGTCGACTGCGCTGCACCTTATTACCGTCAGCTACAGACCATAACGGTGCCACTGTTAAATAATTTCTATGGATGCAGGGCAAGGCAGAAACCAGATATGTTACTCATCATCATCATCATCACTGTCAGCTGTCAGATATGTTATCATCATCATCATCACTGTCAGCTGTAAGAACCGCGTACTCGTCGTACACTGGTTGTAGCTGCCACAGCTTCGTTCACCCACCGATTGGGGGAGGGGGTAGGTAGCTGCGCATTGCACGCGCGAGCTGGTAAATTGGTGCATAAATCCAGCATTGTCAGT